TTTTTTTTTCAAATTTGCTATTGAGCATGTGAACTCACCAGAGAGACAGAAAGAGAGAGGGAAAGTGAGAAAGCGAGCTGCATGGTCTGGGACTCATATCGCAATTGGCCCTGTGGGAGTCCAGCACCCCAACTGCCACACCACCTGCTGTCCTCAAGCCTCTTTGATTTTACATATCTTTTTTTGAAAAGCCCAACAAAGACAATACAAATTGTTTTAAAGAACAGATATATAGGATGAATCACTGTGTTAAAATTACAGGGTATATAAAATAGAATGATTCAGGGTAGTGGTGCCAAAGGGAAATGAAACCTAGTGATTAAAAAAAGAAAAGTGTTTCCAATGACTTTAGGCCATTCGGTGGGATGTTTAGTCTCTATATAGACCATGCATCATTATCCTTGCTAACAGAGACAATGGTACAAATTCCACATCTGTATCTGACATCCAAAAATATTGATGCAATTAACTTTGAGAAATACGACGTTTTGGCATTTGTATTGACTGTTCAGTCTGTGTGATCACTGTAACTTCAGATACCCTCAACATAAAATGACAGATATCTAGGGAAAACTGGCCTAGATTCCAGCTAAGTAACAGAAATAAACCATGTGTACTTGTTTCGGTGGATTGCTGTAAAAAATTGCCTCTTGCCAGGGGCTGACTCTGATGTGTAGCAGTAACACGCAGCTAAAGAGAAGCTAGATCTCACACAGTGACTGCAGTTCGAATCCCCGGTCCAGTTGGCCTTAAACATACCAGGCATGCACACAAGTACTCAAAGTCCAGTAGACATCAAAAGGAGAAAAGAATATGAGAACCTTAAGTGCAATAAGCAAAGAAAAAAGAAATAATATAAAAAGGGAGTAGGTGACAGTCTCTCTGTTTGTGAATAACTGTTTACATAGAAAAACCTAAGGTGTCTAACATACAAACTAAAAAAAATAATGTAAGATTTTGCTATGTTTAAAACTTGAGGGGCTGGGCCAACAGGCAGTATACTGGGGTTAAGGCACTGGATTCCTACATGGCCAAGTGCAGTTTGAGTACCAGAATAGGCAGCTTAAAAACCACAAGAAATAAATATGTAAATACTTATGTGTATGTAAATATAAACACATAAATATGTAAATACAGATGGTGTGGTAGTTAAGGGCTAGACTCCCACATGGCTGACTACAGTTCAAGTCCTGGACCTGGTGGCTTGCTTTTCACTTTCCCTCTCTCTCTCAGGTCAAAAAATAAATAAATAAATAAATAAAATTAAATAAAAATAATTCTTTTCAAAAACATAATAAAATGTAAAAAGACTGACAGTGGAGCCAGCAAGTGGTGTGGTGATCAAAGCGCTAAACTCCCATATGGCTGACCACAGTTCGAATCCTGGACCTGGTAGCTTGCTTTTTCACTTTACCTCTCTCTCTGGTCAAATAAAAATAAATAAATAAATAAATAAAATAATTGTTCATAAAAAAAAAAAAAAGACTGACATTACCAATTGTTGACAAAAATGTGGAATAGCTACTTGAACTCTTGTACATTATAGGTGGGAGTCTAAAATAACACATTGTGAAAAAGGCTCTAACTATTTACTATAAACTAAACAAAGTCAGGACCAGAGTTGGTATAATGACTATGTTGCGGGATCCCCATGTAGTTGACAGTGGTTCGAGTTCCGGATCTGGTGGCTTAAACTCACGCCGGGTGTGTGTGTGTGTGTGTCCAAGATCCTGAGAGGAGAATGGAGGAGAAGGGATGGTGGTGTGACCATTACCCCTGGGGGGTCATTTCTCGCTTTCTGTCTCTCTGTCTCTGTCTTTCTGGCAAGCGCATGTCCCCTATAGCAAAAACCTCTCCAAAAAAAATTTAAAAATAAATAAAATAAACAAAGTCATGCACCATATAATGATATTTTAGTCAGTGATGAGCCACATATATAATGGTAGAGCAATAAACTATACCATATAGCTTAGGAGTGCAGTAGGACACTCCATCCAGGTTTGTGTAAGTTCAGTCTATGTTTGCTCAATGATGAAATCACCTAATGACATATTTCTTAGTATGTATGCCTACTGTTAAGCAATCCACAACTGTACTCATTGTCCCCATACCCAAAAATTCTATTTCTAGGTTTTTATCCAAAATAAATTAAAATACATGTCCTCAGGCTAGCAGGTGGTGTGGTGGTTAAGGCACTAGATCCCAGATGGCTGACTTTATGGTTTGAGTCCCAGACCCAGGGTCTTGAAAATCACACCTTATGCAAGCATGCGTATCCAAGAACCCAAGAGGAGAATGGAGGAAAAGGCATTGATTGCATCATAGCCATCACCCCTAGGGTGTGAGTTCTCACTTTCTCTCTCTGTCTCTGGTACAGATGCTGGGTCCTATAGCAAAAAATAAAAAGCAAAACAAACAAACAAACAAAACACAAAGATATCCTCAAAAAACTTGCACAAGAACATTAATAACAGCTTTTTTTTTTTTTGGAGAGGTTTTTGCTATAGGGAGCACACGCTCGCCAGAAAGACAGAGAGAGGCAGAGAGACAGAAAGCGAGAAATCACCCCCCAAGGGGGATGGCCACGCCGCAATCCCTTCTCCTCATTCTCCTCTCGGGATCTTGGGCACGCACGCACACGCACCCGGCATGAGTTTAAGCCACCGGGTCTGGGATTCGAACTGCGGTCGACTATGTGGGAGTCCAGTAACATAGCCATTATGCTAACTGCTGGTCCCAATAACAGCTTTATTGAAGATAGTCAACAACTGGAAACAATCAAGGTATTCATCAATAAAAGAACGAATAAACAAACTGTGGTATATTCAAACAATGGGTTACTACCTACCATAAAAAACGATCAACTATTGATAAACAGAACAACATATTGGGCTGTTGAAAAAAAATCATGACACTGGGACCAGCAGATGAAGTAATGGTTATGTTGCTAGACTCTTACGTAGTTGCCCACAGTTCGAGTCCTGGATCCAGTGGCTTAAAATTCACACTGGGTGTGTGTGTGTGCAGGCCCAAATCTTGAGAGAAGAATGGAGGGGAAGAGACTGTGGTGTGGCCATCCCTGTGAGGGGTAATTTCTTGCTTTTTCTCTGTCTCTCTCTAGAGCATGTACCCTATAGCAAAAATCTAAAAGAAGGAAAAATCATGTTGCATTTTTTCATAGAAAACAATGAAGAAAACACATCATGACTTTTCTGATGACCCAATAGATGAAGATCAAAAATATTTTGTTACGAATAATGTTTGAAGGAGCAGACATTGTATAATTCCTTTGTGTAAAGTTCTAGAACAAGCAAAATTAATTTATCGTGAAAAATACACAGAATAGGCCCAACCATAGTAACGGGCTGGTAGACACTACCTCTTATAGTAGCACTTCCTGAGGCCCCAGGGGAAGCCTGGGTTTGTTTCCTGGCCCACCCTAAAAGCTGGGAATGGTGGCATGTGCCACATTGTGAGTGGGGGCAGAAACTGATTGTGATGAGAGAACTTAAAGTAAATATTGAACTTCAGTTAATATTCATGGTGGTGAATTTAGAAGTAAAGTATAGTTATGTATATAATTTATTGATACTTTGCATAAAAAAATAAAGAGATTGGGGCTAGATGGTAGTGCAGTGGTGAGGCTAATTCACCTGGAAAGGTTCCAGATTTGTGCCCAGAGACTTCCCTGAGTATGCGAGGCACATGCATGCCCATGATCCAGGGTTGGATGTGGATTAAAGCATTAAGATCTTGTTGGGGGTGCTATCTCTCTATTTTTCTGTCTCTTTCACTCAAAAAAGACATAAATAAACTTTGAAGAACACATAAAGGATTGATGAATAGTTAGAGGGAAGAAAATATGCATAGATAAATGATCAAGTAAATTCAGCGCATATTAATTGAACCAGATATATGGACATTTTAAAAATAATTATTTTAAGTGTTTTGAGTATTTGAATTAAAAAAAAAATGTTTGCCATAGGGCTCATGCACATGCTGGAGACTGAGACAGAGACTTAGAGAAAGAGAGAGGGAAAGTGACAAAGCACTCCCCAGGGGGATGGCCATGGTGAAATTCCTTCTCCTTCATTCTCCTCTCAGGATTTTGGGCACGCACGCATATATGCCCAGCGTGTTTCTCGATCTGCTGTGTCTGGGACTCGACTGCACAGTCAGCTATGTGGGATCCAGACATCCCAACCTCCACATCACCTGCTATTCCGGAGTTTGAGAATTGGACAAAAAAATTTAAAAAGTGCTTTTTTTTTTTTTTTTTGAGAGGTTTTTGCCTTAGGGCATGTTCACTCCGAAGAGACAGAAAGTGAGAAATCACCCCCCCAGTGGGGATGGCCACGCTGCAATCCCTTCTCCTTCATTCTCCTCCTGGGATCTGGGGCACTCATGCACACATGCCCGGTGTGAGTTTAAGCCACCGAGTCCAGGACTCGAACTGCGGTCAACTACATGGGAGTCCAGTGACAGAGCCATTACGTCAACTGCTGGTTCCTAAAAAGTGATTTTAATTCCTCTGCTTGCTCACATAGCTTGCATAACCGCTAACTGAATTTATATGAAGTAAACCGACAGGGGGTGCTTTTTTCAGAGTCCTGATTTTACCTTTAAAAAAAACCTAAGTAATAAATCAAACTGTTCTTTCTCATCAATGACATAAATTAAATTGCAGAGTGACTTCAGTTTCACATTATATATGTTGTGACTGGCTCAGATGACAGAAGTTCTGCAGTTTTTTGACTATTTCCAAGGCTAATCATTTAAAGATAGACATCTGCTCTGACTACAGGCTTTAGAACAAGAAAATATATTTGTGGAGCTTGGCTTTGCAATGTGAAATGCCAAGCCCGTACAATTGCAACAAAACAGAACAAAACAAAACAGAGCACCAAGAAAAACTTAGTTATTTACTGTTAAGGAGCAGTCACCATATAGATTACAAATGTAATGTTTATGCCTTCAAGAGAAAACTTTTGTGTCATTACCTTTATCAAGAGATGCTCCAGCCATATGATAAAAGCTCAGTGCGGTGTCCACATCATTAATATTCTTTAGGAAAGTAAAGAAGTTCTCCACCTCTTGAAATGTCAGACCCTACAACAGGAAACAGCGAGGTAAGGCAGGACCTGTAACAGAAAGCATCACGACTCGCAGAAAACTGGGCAATTATATTAACGTCAGTCAGGAAGTTACATTCATGTCTAGAACAGAGACCAAATAAATCAGTCAAGAATGCCAACTGACCAGCAGTTGGTGTAATGGCTATGTTGCTGGACTCCCATGTAGTTGACCACAGTTTGAGTCCTGGACCCGGTGGCTTAAACTCACGCCGGGCACGAGTGCGTGCGTGCCCAAGATCCTGAGAGGAGAATGGAGAAGGGATTGCGGCGTGGCCATCCCCCCTGGGATGTGATTTCTCACTTTTTGTCTGTCTCTCTCTGTCTTTTTGGGGATGTGATTCTCCCTATAGCAAAAACCTCTCAAAAAAAAAAAAAAAGAATGACAAATTTGTAATGATAAGGAAACAAAACTCTAGGATTTTACCCTGAAAAAGGCAAACTGGCTAACTGCTTCGCCCTCATGTGTGAAATCTGACACAAAGCTGCTTCCCCAATCTTCAGTGAAAATATCCCTCACTGTGCTCTCCAATTAGTCGCACTATCTATTGTGACACTCCCTAAATGGGTTGCAGCCATTTGATCTATTATGACACTTTAAGGAGTAAGATCAGACAGGAATTCCATTTCAATAGGCTGCTGGACGGCTAGGCTTTTAGAGGCTTAAGCTAATTAAAGAAGTCCATGGTCTACGGGGGGAAGGGTTTCAGTGTTTAGCAAAGCTTGTTCATTATCTCTTAAAAGCTTCTGACTAAGTAATTCTCCACTTTAATCTGATGAAATTCTGTGAATGAACAAATTCTTTTCAAAAGCTGTTCAAAGATTTGATTTCTAATTCTGCTTTCTATGGCAGCTCGAGAGAAAGCAGTTGTACAGAAGCTACTAGGAGTTCCTTGACAGAGAAGACTTGTCCTCTTTTCCTTTTCTCCCCTTCTCACACATCAAACTGTGATGGGAATGAATACAGGTTCTAAGAAGTGCAAGTGCTGGGAAATGTCCTAGACACTGGGGTTAATGTCTTTTAATGAAGCACTGGGTCCTTAATGGACTGCAGTTGTTGACTGGCTTCTACTTAGTGTTGCTCTTCTTCCAATTTCCATTTCCCCAAACTATTGTAGGTAGTCCAGGAACCTACACCAGGCACTTAGTAAAAAGAAAGTTTTGTTTTTTAAAACTTTATTTATCTATGTAGCTATCTATTTATTTTGTAGAGGATTTTGCTTTAGGGCACCCCCAAGACAGAGACGATGAGAGGGAAAGTGAGAAATCAGCCCCTGGCGGGGATGGCCTCGCTGCAATCCCATTATCCTCCCAGGACCTTGGGCACTTATGCACATGTGTCTGGTATCATTTTTCAAGCCACCAGATCTGGGACTTGAACCACGGTTGGCCATGTGGGAGTCCAGCAACTGGACATGATGTTGTAACTGCTACAACATCTACTGGCTCCTATTTGTTGTGGTTTTCACGCTGCTGGGTTTAGGACTTGAATTGCAGTAGGCCATGTGCAACCACCATGCCACCTGTTGGCCCCCAAAAGGAAATCTTAATAGTTCTTTCCTGGTACTCTTTAGGTTGGGTCAATTGTACTTTTCTCATTTTATCAATCAAACTGAAAGCTAAAATACTGTTTGTATGATTATGTCATCTATAATTTCTCCCTCAGAATCACAGACCTTAAAATAGATTTTGTGGGCCGGTAGGAGGCCTAGTGGATAAAGGTGTTGGATTCCCACATGGCAGACTGTGAATCGAGTCCCGGACCTGGTGGCTTGCTTTCTCACTTTCCTTTACTCTCTCTGTCTCTCTCTAATCAAATTTTAAAAAATAATAACAAATGAAATTTGATAAATAAATAATTCTTTAGAAAAAAATAGATTTTGATTAGGGTCAGCAGGTGGCGTGACAATTAAGGTGTTGGAATCCCACATGACTGACTGCAGTTTGAGTTCTGGACCTGGTTGTTTGAAACTCATGCTGGATACATGTGAATGCATGCCCAAAATCCAAGGAGGAGAATGGAGAAGGAATTATAGTGTGGCTATTCCCCTTAGGGAGGGAAATGATATCTCATTTTTCCCTCCTGCTATCTCTTTGTCTTTCTCTGGATGAGTTGAAGGGAAGAGACTGGACTTTGGTGTGAGGACCCTATTGGAGGTGACTCACTCACTCTCTTAGAAGAAACAAATAGATGAATTTAACGTATGTTGTATGTGTGGAAGTGTTTGTGGCTATGAGTGTGTGTGTGTGTGTATAAATGTATGGGTCCAGCTGTAGCGATGTGTGCTGCTAAGACATTGTGTTCTTCAGGCTGGGACCTTAAGGGAAGCCTGGTTCGATTCCCAGTGCAATCTAAAGGCTGAGCAAAATGGCATGTACCTGTAAACACAGTGTCTTTGGAGGCTGAAGCCAGGGAATTGTAGGCTCCAGGCTGGCTTGGAAAATGGAGAATTTGAGTAAAAATAAAATGAAGAGGGAGATGTGGCTGTGTGTGCCTGTGGTCCCAGCTGGGAGGCTGAGGCAGGAGGATCATGACACCATGAAACTCTGTCTTTAGGGACTAGCAGATGGTGTAACGGTTACGTCGCTGGACTCCCACGTGGCCAACTGCAGTTTGAGTCCTGGACCTGGCAGCTTAAAACTCATGGGCCCATGCGTGTGTGTGTGTGCCCAGAATCCTGGGAGGAGAATGGAGGAGAAAGGATTGTGGCCTGGCCATCCCTCCTGGGGTGGGGGTGTGTGATTTCTTGCTTTCTCTCTCTCTGGTGAGGGCATGTGTCCTAGCAAAAATATCTCTTAAAAAAATAAAAAAGAAAGAAACTCTATTTTTTTATTTTTATTTTTTGGAGAGGTTTCCACCATAGGGCCCATGCGTTCGCCAGACAGACAGAGAGAGACAGAGAGACAGAAAGCGAAAAATCAACCCCCGGGGGGATGGCCACGCCACAATCCCTTTTCATCCGTGCTCCTCTCAGGATCTTGGGCACCCTTGCACACGCGCCCGGCGTGAGTTTTAAGCCACCGGGTCTGGGACACGAACCGCAGTCAACTACATGGGAGTCCAGTGACATAGACATTACGTTAACTGCTGGCCCCAAGGAACTCTATTTTAAAATAAATACAGGGGCCAGTCAGTGGTGTGGTGGTTAAGGTGGCTGGATTCCACGTGGCCAACTATGTGATCCAAGTCTCAGACCTGGTGGCTTAAGAAACACATCAAACACTTGTGCATGTGTGCCCAAAATCCCAAGAGGAGAAGGGATTGTGGTATGGCCATCTCCCAGGAGGTGTTTTCTCACTTCCCCCGATCTGCCCCCTCCCATCTCTCTGGCAAGTACACATACCTTACAGCAAATTAAAAAAAAAAAAAGTACAATTTAGCAAACTGTTGTTAAAATGAACACTCATAGAAACTCCACTCAGGTCAAGGAACAGACTTTTCATGAAAGTTTATTTATTTCTTTCCTGCGAGAGAGAGAGAGCGTGAGAAAGACAAGTATTCTCAACAAGGTCTCACGACAAGATCCTCCCCTCAGCCTTTCCAGCCAACCAGGAACACGTGGGCATGTGTGTGCACACTCCTGGCAAATGGCAGTTGACCTGAAAACTAAGCCCTGAATCTTCCTTATGTCTTCCAGCAGTGCAGAGCACTGTGTCCTGCTGTGCCACCCATGGCCGGCTAAGGGACAGACTATGTCAGCATTCCAGAAACCTGCTCCTCTTCCCACTCAGCAGGCCCCTTCCCGATCATAAGCCCCACCCTCACCACCAAGGATAATCACTATTTTGATTTTTAGAGTACTCATTTCCTTACCTTTAAAAAAAAATAGCATTGCTCCTGATGTATGCACCTTTAAATAGAAATACTAGCTTAGTTTTATATTTTTAAACTTTATAAACCAAATTATGTAGTTTGCATTGTTACCTGCGGCTTCTTTCTTTAAGATTGGTTCATGTTTTGTGTATATCTGTGGTTGATTCCTTTTTATTGCTATAAAGTATAATTATGTGAATACACCACAGCTTGTTTATTCATTCTATTTGGACTATTTCCAATTTTTGGCAATTATGAATAAGAGTACCTCTGTATTTAAGCATTCATTCAAACATTTATGGATTATCTATCATGTAACAGGTACCGTCATTTTTGGCAGTGAACTGGAAAAACTTGTGTGATATACTTTTTTCCCATAATTTGAGGTATCTTAGCCTTGACATAGAGTGCCCTGAGGCAGGGCTTATTCCTTATCTGGATGCTATAGTAAGGACGAATAGTAAGCTCTTTGCAGTTAAGTACTAGGCAAGAACTGCCCTTACAGAGAAGAACCTCACTGGATTAGAAACATGGATTCTACATGATCACTGCTTGTGGACAGATATACTCGTACCATCTTCCTTCCACCTCCATCAAAAGACACCCAAGGTGGAAGCCACCCAAGTGTTCACTGATGGATGAATGGAAGAACAAAATGTGGGCTATACACACAATGGGAAATTATTCGGCCTTCAAAAGGAAGAAAATTCTGACGAATCTGCTACATGGATGGGCCTTAAAGACATGCTAAGTGAAATAAGCCAGCCACAAAAGGACAAAGGTCAACACTATATGACCGGACTTGTGTGAGGTACCTAAAGTAGTCAAATTCATAGACTGAAAGTAGAATGATGGTTGCCAGGAACTTGTGAGAGGGGGAAGGACAGTTACTGTGAAAGGGTAAGGAGGTCTACTTCAGGAAGACAACAAAGTTCTGGAGGTCAATGGTGGTGGTGATGGCACAACAATACAATGAAACTTAATGCCACAAGACTGTACACCTAAAAATGATTAAAACAGGGCCAGCAGATGGTGTGGTGTGTGGGGGTGCTGGACTGCCACATGGCCAACTGTGGTTCGAGACCTGGATCTGGCGGCTTGCCTTCTCACTTTTTCCCTCTCTCTCTCTGTCCCTCCCTGGTCAAATGACAATAAATGAATAA